CCTTTAAAATGTGATGTGAATACAGAGAGGCCATTCCTATTTTGTAAGTCCAAGAACCAGGAATCACATGTAAGTTCTTCAACCTTATTAGCTGATCGTATAGTGATATTCTTTGATCACTTCAAGATTTGGGAGCTGAGATTCATTTTCTTCCTAACTCCTCGTCACATGTCTTTGTCTAACTAGAGTCATCTTGTTGAGTGTCCTTAGGAAATTCTCCAACCATGTCGTACTTTCAATGTTCTTCTGGTTTCACTATGCTGAGTCTTGGCTACATTTCATTGACTTGCTTTATTTCAACCCCCATTACTTTACTAAGGGATTTTAGTAAATTAGGGTTTTTAAGAAAGTATAGAAACTACAGTAATATCAATTAATTATGATAAAAAGAATTCAGATTTGTGTGTTGTTTATAACTTTACACTTATTTCAAACTTTCTCACTAAACAAAAATTTATAACATTGTTTAAAGGACTTTTTTAACAAATACTTAAAATAATGGTGATTGCTTTACTAGGAATTTTACAAGAAAGAACCTTATTAACTTTTTAGAACAAATATTAGGAAGCTACACCAATTTAGTAGTATCATTCACATAAATGTTAATTAGCAATTCTACAAGCACTTGAGAACTCTATTCACTGAATTTGATCATTCTATTAGCATTTTACTATGCTCGTGAATAGGTAGGTACCAGGCAAAGTAGCAGGGCCCAAGCAATGGATTTGACTCATTTCGTGTTTCCAGGATGTGCTGTAAGGGGAAAAACATTTGTAAAAGTAATTAAGATATAAAACCATTGCTAGACTAAGGATATTTTAATGCCAAGATGCAGAAAATAGTTATTTATACTCATTTATGAGATGAAGGTGATCAAAACTGACTTTATAAATAAGTTGACATTTTGATGAGTGTTGATGCAGGTTTACCTGCATTTTGTAAAGGCAAATTTGATAAACTCTCTTTGTTGCCACATGAAAGAGATATGTTCTAGATGAGAGTACATAGCAATATATTTTCTTTTTTTCTTTTTTTAGGGGGGGGGGTCCAGTCATGGGGCTTGAACTCTGGGCCTGGGAGCTGTCTCTCAGCTCTTCAGCTCAAGGCTAGTGCTCTACCACTTGAGCCACAGTGCCACTTGTGGCTTTTTTCTTTTTGCGTATGTGGTGCTGAGGAATTGAACCCAGGGCCTCATGCATGCAAGGCAAGTGCTCTACCACTGAGCCACCTTCCCAGCCCCAATATATTTTCTTAAACTCAAACTTTGGGTGATATGATTCAATAAAAAAAACTGATTCTTTGCATCAAAGGTAGCTTAAAGAAGTGGTATCAGCTCATTTGGTGACCTTGAAGGGTCTTTGTTCTGTCCTAGGAAATTTTGATTTAATAATGGCCTGGTGAACACACAACACACATACACACACAGAGCACTTACTAAAAATGACACTCTGTGATCTGACATAATGAAGACCCAACAAGAGAACAATTAATATCATCAAACTGTAAAACACTGTTAAAACTAAGCACATGGAGTTAAGCACTATTCTGGACACAAAAGGTAAAGTAAATAATTTGGCTTTGTTGATTGAACAATTGCAGTAATGTACACAGGCTAACAATATGTACATAATTGTAAAAAAGTCCCTAGTATAGATTTGCACAAAATATTATAAGAAAGTAAAAAATACTTTGACTCTGGTAAAAATGGAAGGAAACTTCTAAAAGATGTACAGAAGGCTGTCCATAATTGCAGGGAATGGTTTCCAAGAGAAAGGAACAGCATGCAGGCCTGCAAAAACAAAGTAAGAAAACATGTTGTATGCAAGAAGCAGAAAATATTTTGGCATGATTTGAGCATTGGCTTGCCATGGTATTTGAATCTGGAAAAAATAAGCAGAGATTGGATGCAAAGGACCCTGTTAGAGGGTTTGTGCTTCCTCTCATGGGCAGATAAATGATATGATATGAGTTGTCAGATTATTATAATAGATAGAGAATAAAAAAAGTTTCTTTCAATATGCAGGTGAGAGAAAATAAAAGCCAGAATCTAAAAACACGTTGATGGAATAGATGGAGGAAGTAAAGCGAATCGATGTAGAAGATGAAAGACAATCCAGTTCTAGGGCTAGATTAAAGGATAATATCTCATGTATACTTCTGGGTAATGCCACTTACTGACATGGGTAAATATAAATAGGAGATTGAGCGTGGAGTTAGATTATAAGTACATTTGGTGAGTACATCACTCTTTAAGTTGGTGTCAATTATACAATATTCCTTTATGATTGTATCTGAATTCCTTTGGATTGAAGCTTACTGTACTTAGCTTCTGTCTATATAGATGTTTTCCTAATTATTCCCTATAATTTCTTCATTACCCATGAATTCCATCAATAACCTCTTAGTCTACTGTTCTAGACATCAGGATAAAAGTTTGAATAACACAATTTGTACTCTCAAGGAGCACACCATCTAGCATATGAGATGAATATACATTTATAATTATTCCAGGGCTAAGACTATGGAAGTGATCATTCCATCTGCAGTATTTCTAACACAATGGAATGTTCTGCCCATTCTTTTTTTTAATTAATAAGTTTTTATTGTGAAAATACCCTACAGAGGGGTTACAATTACATGAGCAAGGTCATGAGTACATTTCTTATCTAGCATTGTTGCCTTCTCCTTTGTTTCCTCTTACCATCCCTGCCCTCCCCTCTCCCCCCACCCCCACCCTGCCAAAGTTGTAAAGTTCATTTTTCGACATAACATCTTGTACATCTCCTTGTTGCAATGGGGCCACCTGTATCCCTATTTAAACAATTGGTTTTTCCCTTCCCCTCCATAAATTATACCAACATGAAATACAGTGAAAATAGGGGTTATACTGTGGGGGAGGGACAGACAAAGCAACAAAGAAATATCTTATAAATATGTTAGAAATAATAGCAAGAAAGAAAAACCATTTGAGTCCTTATCTTGGAGTTCATTTCACCTAGCACCAAATTATCAGACCATTTCTGCCTGTCTCAGACATATACTAGTAATTGCAAATGGGAAACCATGGGACCTGTGTTTCTTTGGGCTTGGCTTACTTCACTTAATATAATTTTTTCCAAGTCTTTCCATTTCCTAACAAATGGAGCAATGTCATTCTTTCTGATGGAGGCATAGAATTCCATTGTGTAGATGATTGGCTCAAGAAACCTTCTGCCCGTTTTTGGAAACAGCCTCTCTTGGTTCCTAGATCAGACATTCTGGGTTGAATGCCGCTGTGGGCTCAGACTCATTCCCAGACTCATTCCCATTCTGAAAAGATGCCTGAAAGTGGAGATGGGTGGTTAGATGTACGATGTAGCAGACCATCCAGAATGCAGATCCTAATGGCTACACTTGCTGACTTCCTGCCTTTGAAAAATTACTTCATTGCTCCATCCCCACCTTTTTATCCAGAGCTGAAGACCAAACTCAGGACCTTGAACTTTCCAGGCAAGTGCTCTTCCACTGAGCTAAATTGTTCTTTACCTGCCTCCTTCTTTGACCATTTTACTTCACCTCTTGCACCTGCTGAGTACTTTACTCACACAGCATCTTCTCAATGAGTGTTATCTGACACTCTCTACACTCCAAATGCCTCCCACCTGTGCTGCCTTAGTCTTCTCTATTGCTCCTGTGGCCAGCTGTCACATTATATATTCCACTAGCAGAGTTTGTAACCTCTCTTCCACATGAGAAGGTGAGCTCTGGGAGGGCAGAAATCCACATGTAGAATAATGTCTGACCTACAGAAGATAGTCAGTATTTATTATATTATTACTCTTTTGCTTTAGGACTATCAGGAGTCACAATCTGACCAATGGATTCAGTAAGAAGTAGGTTTTAGAAAGTAGATAGAGCATGTATCATCATAATAACTGATAGCATTTATTATTTCTAATATGCCAAACAACATGTTAAAATACTTTAGATTTATTCCTTCAGTGAAGCTTATCATTATCAAAAAAAATCTAGTTACTGATGAAATAATGAAACCTGTTCCTTTTCAATAAGAATTTAGTGTTATGTATAAGTCCTGTTTTATTTGAGGACTTTATTAACCTGTAATGTGTGAACCAAGATCAAATTTCTTTTTTCTTTTCTGTCAGTCATAGGGCTTAACCTCAGGGCCTGGTGTTGTCCCTGAGCCTTTTTGCCCAAGGCTAGCACTCTACCACTTTGAGCTACAGTGCCACTTCCTTAAATTTCTTTAGAGTCATGATACAAGTTTACCAAAAAGCTGATGTAAATTGGTTTATGCTGAATTCAACTGGATTGTTCTGATGCTGTCTTGAGACTATACTTCCTTTGATCACATATAACCACATGGACAATACTTATTATAATAATATAATTTACTATATTTCTAAGGTGAATATAATAAACAAAAATCTGCCGCTGTGTCTTATGTTTTTGTATAAATGACATTTTTCTGAGTGTAGGAATAGAGCTTCCTACAGCATAGGAGTGCAGCCTCCTAGAGTCTGGGCTCTTTAAGCTGATATCCTTAGGTCTCCTCCTCAGCTACCATTCCATCATTGTTGGTTCCCTTTCCTTTTTGTTTCTTTCATTTATTTTTTTGTTTTACAGAAGGTACTCTGCCTGACCTCATTACCTTTCCAGATAAATCAAGACTCCTCTCTTCAGAAATATTCAGTCTGGCTTTTTTAGCACCGCTAATTGTTGAAAAGAGAGAGTGAAAAGGCACATTTGAACATCTCCTATAGACAAAGTCCAGACACGTATCGATACATATAGTGCATCAAAAGAATTCTTTCAAAAAAATGTGAACTCAACGATCAAAATTCTTTTACATATTTTGGAGAGATCAGGTGTTTGGTTTTCCAGCAAGGTAAGAAAAATGGAGAATGAAACCAAACAAAATTTCTTTTCTTAGAGAATAACAGAGTTAGAATTAACCTGTGGAGGCTTCTCCCGACTTCCTGGAATCTGGAAGCCCAATGAAACCGCAGGCACAAGAATGACCTGGGGAAACTGGACAACTGTCAGTGAATTCATTCTTGTGAGTTTCTCTACCTTGTCCTCGGAGGTGCAGGCTTTACTATTTCTCTTGTTTTTGGCTATTTACATGATTACACTAATGGGCAATGTCCTCATCATACTGGTCACTACTGCTGATTCTGCCCTGCAAAGTCCCATGTACTTCTTCCTCAGAAATCTATCCTTCCTGGAGATCGGTTTCAACCTGGTCATTGTGCCCAAGATGCTGGGATCACTGATCATCCGACACACAACCATCTCCTTCCTTGGATGTGCTATTCAGATGTACTTCTTCTTCTTCTTTGGAGCTGCTGAATGCTGCCTGCTGGCCACCATGGCCTATGACCGCTATGTGGCCATCTGTGACCCATTGCGCTACCCATTAATCATGAGCCGCAAGTCCTGTGTCCAGCTGGCTGCTGCTTCTTGGTTCTCGGGGTTCCCAGTAGCCACTGTACAAACCACGTGGATTTTCAGTTTCCCCTTTTGCGGCCCCAACAGAATCAATCACTTTTTCTGTGACAGCCCCCCTGTCATCGCCCTGGTCTGTGCTGATACCTCTCTGTTTGAACTGGAGGCTTTGACAGCTACTGTTCTATTCATCCTCTTCCCTTTCTTGCTGATTCTGGGATCCTATGTTCGCATCCTCTCCACCATCTTCAGGATGCCCTCAGCTGAGGGGAAGCAAAAGGCCTTCTCCACCTGCTCTTCCCACCTCCTGGTCGTCTCCCTCTTCTACAGCACTGCCATCCTCACATACTTCCGGCCCCGTTCTAACAACTCTCCTGAGAGCAAGAAGATGCTGTCACTGTCCTACACAGTCGTGACTCCTATGTTGAACCCCATCATCTACAGTTTAAGGAATAATGAGGTGAAGGCTGCACTGAGGCGGGTCCTACGCAGAATTCTGGGTTCTCAGAAACTAAGACTGACTTAGTTGGAAATGGAAGGCATAGAATGCAAAGGCAAAGAAAATTCCTCACATGGGTTTTTGAATTTTGAGGAGACACCGTATGCCCTTGAGATTTTAGACTTCTTGTCGGAATCTATTTTCAGAATGGAAAAAAAAAGAGAGAGAAGCATGAATGACGATAGTATATAGACTCAGTATTCTATGAGGCTGTGGTACCACTGTCTCTAGTTTATACAAATTTGCGCCCTCTGGAGGTTTAAATGTCACTATACAATCTACCAATTTTTTTTGTCTTAATCTTCATCTATTTCATTTTATAATATTCTGCTTTACTTTCTATTATTTGTCCAGAAAACTCACTACATATTTCTAAGGTGTCTTGACTTATAAGATAATTATAATGAAAGTAATCAATAAATTGTTTTCCCATTCTTTTGTGAATGTGCACCCCAATTGTCACTAAATTTGAGTTGAATATGTCAAGCCCAGTTCAGGCCTTGGAGACACAGTTGTCAACAAAACAAAAAAGTTTCTTCCTTCAAGAAACTTACATTGTAGGATAAAGAGAGGGATAGAGAATAGAAAAATTGAAATATCCAGAGGTTTATAATGCACATAGTTTTAGAGAGATAACAGTTGAGGAATTCTGCCAGTTACCCTAATTAGACTGCTTTATAATGAGACATCCTTAAATACTGAATTATCATATTACAGAATATGAAAACTACTGGTGAAAGGACTGTAAAAAATGAGCAGAGCACCAGTGGCTCATACCTATCAACCTAGCAAATCAGGAAGCTGTGATCTGTGGAAAGAGGTTTGAAGCCAGCCTTGGCAGAAAAGTCCATGAGACTCTTGTCTCCAATTAATCAGTAAAAAGTTAGAAGTAGTGGTAGTGTCAGCCTTGAGCATAAAAACCGAGAGCTTGAGGCCTTAAGTTTAAGACCACCACAAAAAAGGGAAAATAAAACCTAATATTTACTTCTAATTAGTAAAACGCTCTTGCCTTCCATTAAAGATAATAGTAACTATACATGATGAAGATAAACATAATTCACCATAATTTTATTGTAATAAAATACTTCATACAAGTAAGTGTTACACAGATATCTAAAGCACTATCTTTTTCCTTTCCATGAAAGGAAGATAAGGAGACACTTTCTTACCCACTAATAATGTTATTTATACTATCATCAGTTTCAAAGAGACACTATCAAGGTAGAGAATTTTCTTCAGAGGTTTCTGAATCCTGATTTGTGTGTGTGTGTGTGTGTGTGTGTGTGTGTGTGTGTGTGTGTGTGTGTGAGTGGTGTATGCATAGCAGTATTGGGGCTCAAATTCATGGCCTGGGTACTGTCCATGAGCTTCTTTTGCTCAAGGCTTGAGCCACACTACCACTTCTAGCTCTTTTGGTAGTTTAATGGAATTAACAGTCACACAGACTTCTGCCTGAGCTGACTTTGAACTGCAATCCTCAAACCTCAGCTATCTGAGTAGTTAGGATTACAAGTATGAGCCGTTGGCACCTGTCTGATGAATTCTAAAGTTTGAAAAAAACTTCAGTAGTTGTTAGGAATGTCCAGGACTGTTTGAAATGGAAGAGTCTGGAGAGTCTCTGCTGATGGTGTTGTCCTGCATAACTTGGACTTGCTCTGGATACAGTGGCTGGTGTAGAATTGCTCTGTTTGTCCTCACTGGTGTTCATCATGGTGGAATGGAAGAGGTATCCAAATCCTCTGAGTCTCTGGCTACATAGGTATAGGAGATTGCATAGAGCAGCCCCACAGGACTGATAAATAACCAATGTTCCTGGAGACCTAATGGGTCTTCTTAGGGTCTATTAGTCAGAAATGTAGGCCCAGGACTTCTATGACTGATAAAAAGATTCACTTGTGCTGAGGTGACCCAGAGTCTGGGATCCAGCTGGAGTCTGACTCTAGGCTACTACTCTTCCCCTCCATTCCTTTACCTCCTCTGCTAGTGAACTGGGCTTGGGTCAAACATCCTTGTGAAACTCAGCTCTGGCTTTTGAAATCCCAGGTCAGCCTCACTCTACAGGGAATGCTGGAGGTAGCAACTGAGGAGCGGCCAGAGAAACAGCCTGGGTGCTGCTTGCCTGTGGCATCTTATCCTGGGTGGCTGGCTATCGACAGAGCTGGGCTAGTTCTGGAGAGGCAGCTGAGGCCTCATGCCATCAAGTGTCTCCGCTGTTCCAGTGGTGGCACACTGTGCATATTCGTGGGAGGCTGGCTTGGCATTTGGGGACAGATATTAACTTTGGGGTTCTGAGCCAGGCAAGAAGTCCTCAGCAGGGCCAAAACCTTGCTTCCCAGTCCTTCTGACTTTGGTTCTTCTGCTACAGTGAGCGAATATCTCACTGTCTAAACAGTGTATTTCCCAGAGAACAAATGAGCCAATTTTGATATTAGAAAGTTGACTGAATTGTGCTTTAAGATCCTGCAAATTGAGCCCATTCCTCGGAAGTCCTTTCATGGCATTCTTGCTGGTTCTGTGATTCAGGCTCCTTACAGGATGTGTTTTGCTTTTTTTTTTTTTATAATTCCTGCACTAAGCTCAGAATGTAGTCATCCATTTTTCTTTTGTTTTTCACCCTGTTATTTATGTTTTTAATTCTGTTTTTATTATCTTTAAGTACTTGTACAAAGGGGTTACAATTCAACATGTCTGTTTATGGGTCCAGTGACTCTTGATCAATATCACCTCTTTCTTTGTTCTCCCCCATCCCTCCCAGCCCCATCCAACTCAGTTTTCCAAGTTTATAGGATACACATTGAACATTATGACTATATCCTCTTCCCTCTTCCTCTCTTCATCCATTTGGAATGGTTCCCAAATCTCTTCCCTACTCTTCCCTCAGAGCTGCCCTCTAAACAAAGGAGAAACATTAGTTTCTTTCTGCAAAGCAATGGAATGATGTGGGCTAGGACAATGATATATATCATTCTCATATGTAGACACAGATCCCTTAGCACTTGAGATTCACTTCTGCTCATTTGGAACAGCCAGTGGCTCATGCCTATAATCCTAGCCATTCTAAAGGGTGAGATCAGAGGATCACAGTTCAAAGGCAGCCCAGGAAGGAAAGTCCATGAGGCTCTTATCTTCAATGAATCTCTCCAATGAATCTCTCTCTCTGTCTCTCTCTCTGTCTCTCGCTCTGTCTCTCTCTCTCTCTCTCTCTCTCTCTCACACACACACACACACACACAGTAGAACTGTGGCTTACTAGTCTTGAGGGAAAAGGCTCAGTGACAGTGCTCAGCCCATGAGTTCAAGCCCCAGGACCAGTATAAAAATAAATAAATATATTTCAGCATCTTTTCTGATTTTTTTAAAGTCAGCAGACAAGTCATAGAAGGGAAACTCAATATGATAGAGGGCATCTACAGAATCCTGAACCACTCCCAGCCTTAATAACTTGGAAGCATAGAATGCCCATTGATATTCAGGGTCCTTTATATTAATGAGCCAGTTGCAAACAAGAAGTTTCTATACTGCCTGAAGTGATTGATCTTACTTCCAGGCACAAACAGGGTGGTAGACATACATGTGATGCAGGGGGTAGGAGTGAGGGGAGGGATATTAAGGAAAATTGGGCCTGGAACTCAAAGGATGCACTGGGGTATCTTACTACAATAGATCCAATCCAAGAAAAACTGAAACAAATCCAATGAATGGGATCATCATACCTCAAATACTCAGGAAAGTTTTAGGTTACCACATTAGATGACACACTCCAGCAAACATGAGTTAAGACAGACAATAAGTCCATGTAAAGATGGTGGAAAAAGTTATAATGTTGATTGTGCCATGGTGACCAATATCAGGAAGTACAGCAGCTATGCTTCCTACTAACAACTCACATTGTATATACCTTTTGCCTCTCAATTTCCTTGTGTAGGTAATCCTGGTAGAAGTTTTGCACTCGACATCACATTGCCATGATAATGTTATTAATGGAACATCATGGGTTCCCTGTACAAGGAGTATGAATTTATCACTGGACAAAGGACAAATGGAAGCTTAGAGAAAAAAAGGTGTCCTTTTAGATGCATCCTCTATCTTTCATCTGCTTACAGTGTGCTTCAACATACCTGCTGCCTTTTATGAATTGTGTAAACATGTTTCTTTGTTTTCTGCCTCTGCAATAGCAGAGGATCAGAAAGAAGGCAGAGAATATCAAATATGTCTACCATGCTGATTTCTCCATGTAACCCAATCCATAGATACTGCCTATGTCCTTTGCATATAGCTACCCTCTGTGTCCTCATTCTCTCCTCCTTCATTCCCTCCTCTAGTGTGGGATTGTTTTCAGATTCTCACTCTTGCTAGCCCTGGAATATGCCATTATTTCTTCTCAGTCTCCAAAACTCTGCGTTCACCTTAATGAAGATATATTCTGATAGATACCTTGTTAGAGATGGTCCTTGTGACTATACAGAGTGAGGCCAGGCACTAGTGGGTCACATCTATAATCCTAGCTTCTCAGGAGGCTGAGATCCAAGGATTGCAGTTCAAACACAGCCCTGGCAGGAAAGTCTACAAGTAGCTACCAGAAAAGATGGAAGTAGAGCTGTGGCTCAAGTCAAAGAGTACTAGCCTTGAGCAAAAAAGCTCAGGGACAATGCCCAGGCTCTGAGTTCCAGCCCCAGGACAGAGGGGAAATAAAAGACTGAGAAGATCCTAGAGATCACACGTCTGTTTCATTGTACCCATGTTCCTCATTACCTTCCTGAAACACACATGCGCAGTACCTAGCTCATGGTGACTAAATAATGTTGGTTAAATTTTTATTATTTGATGATATGAAGAAAATCATAAATACCTAATGGTAAAGAACTTGGATTAGAAGCTAGATACTAATGAGACTTATTTCCCAATTCACCAGAAAAAAAAATTGATGTGGAGGTATGGATGATGTTAGTGGTAGAGTGTCAACTTTGAGCAAAGAAGACAGGCAGGAGTTAGAGGCCCTGAGTTCAAGCCCTAGTAAAGGTAACAACAACAGAA